CACAGGCAGATGGGATACGGGTTGCCCACAGGCCCACAGTCAGCCCTGCTCACTCGTGCTGGCCCTCTGCAAACTCCGCAGTGAAACCTGGCCTGGCCAGTTGGCCCCACTGAGCCACGTCCACTCTGAGCACACAGTACAGGCTCGCGCTGCTCTCCCGCCCGAGGCAGGGACGAGCACACTCACGTGCTCTCATGGCTGCCCCACCAAAGCAGGGGGACAAGAGTCCCTAAAGCAAGCTGCCTGTGAGGCCGTGTGGACAGAGTCCCAGAAGGGTGGGGTGATGCCAGTGAGGTCCCTGAATGCACGTGCCAAAAATCATCAGTTGATTCCTGTGCTAGATCAAGGCTTCCACTTCACTAAGACCATCAGCAACCTCTGGGAATATTCCTATAGCCAAATAACTGTACTTTCTCTTTGAATAAATTTCTAGAAGTGGCATTTGGGGTGAAAAAGGTAGGCTGCACAGATTCCAATCTCACTGACTAAGGCAGATTTAGTTCTATTATTGATTTAGCTGTGTATGCTAAGCAAATGAAATGAGAAGCTGGACTCTATGTAGAAGAATGTGGCATCAGGATCAGAAAAAGACTCATTAATAACCTGCTTTATGGATATGAGAGAACCTTGTTTGCTGAAAATGAGAAGGAATTGAGGCACTTACAGCTACAGATCAAAAAATACAGCCTTCTCTATGGATTGCACCTCAACGTCAAGAAAATAAATAGTTTTACCACTGGATCAACAGGCAACATCCATCATGATAGAAGGAGAAAAGATTGAAACTATCAACAACTTCATCTTACTTGGCTCCACCCTTAATACTAGAAGTCAGGAGACCAGGAGAAATACTGCACTGAGCAAGTCTGCAGTCAAGAAACTCTCCAAATTACTGAGAAGAAATGATGTCAGTTTAAGGACTAAGGTGCACCTGATTCAGATCATGGTCTTTCTGATCACTTACTATGCATCTGAGAGTTGGACAATGAATAAGGATGACAGAAAGAGAATTGATGCCTTTGAGCTGTGGTGTTGGAGTACTGAACACCCCACGTTGTTGTTGTTGTTGATTTTTGTTGAGTTGACTACCCCATAGACTGCCAAAAGAACAAACAAATTTGCCTGGACAAAGTGCGGCCTGAGTGTTCCGTGGAGGCAAGGATGATAAAGCTTCATCTCACATACTTCGAGCAGGTTGCCAAAAGAAGCAACTCCTTGGAAAGGGGCATTATGCTCGAAAAGGTGGAGGGTTGGCAGAAGAGAAGACGACCGTCAACCAGGTAGACTGACACAGTGACTGCTGCAATGCGCCCGAGTGTGTCAGAAATTGTGAAGGTGGCACAGGATAGGACAGGGCTCCAATCTGTTGTTTTATGGTCACTATCGGTAGTACTCGATGGCTAACAAGACAATGGCACACAGGTTTGAAGAGTTGGTATACAGCAGAGGTGACACTCAAAGTTAGGGAGTGAACTGGGAACTGGAGCTGGGACAAGAGGTAACACAGGTGGGGAACAGTATCCAGGTTGGGAAGTCACCTGGAGCAGCTGGATTCTACAAAGGTTTTCTGGCTCTGGTGAGGATTAGGGTGGAATGTTTACTTGCCATTGGGTGTGAGCTGATTTTATTCTGCATTCTATTTAAAAAGGCTTTTGGGCCCTCAGGCTGGTTTTAATTGTTTTTGGTCAAACATTCTTCTAAGTGGTATAGCACTGGTCTGTCCATTTGCTGTACAGAGGTAACTCATGGTTGTTGTGATGCTGAACACTGTGACACTGATCTGTCAAATGTGATCATGGTTGCCCATGGCAGACGGTGTTTGTTGGACTCCCCAGTTGAAACAGGCTTGGAAGCAGGAATGGCATCCATTTCCGAAATAGCTTGCCTCTGGAAACTCTATGACCTTGGAGAAATGACGAAAGTTATACAAGTGTTCAGGTCTTCCATTCATAGGGTCTCTATGAGTCGTCTACAACTCAAAGGCACTTAACAACAACGACGTAGAGTTCTGTTGGCCTAGTGGATAGAAAGTGATGCTACCAAGCCAAAGGTGGGTGATTTTAGTCTGCAGCCCTCAGGTCTGGTTTTGTTTTTGGTCAAACATTCTTCTGAGTGGTATAGCCTTGGCCTGTCCATTTGCTGTCATCTATGACTCAACGGCACTTAACAACAACCTCACATACCACTACCATTAAAAACTTAGCTCCTCATGGATTTCATTCAAAAGGTAACATTTTCAGCAGACAATTCAGAATTTCTTTATGATTTTGTAACTGGGAAGGAGTCCTTAAATAAAAATAAAAACAAGAAACATAAAACTGATATATGCAACTCTATTATTACTGAGAAGACCAAAGTGTGTATTCTGATCAAAAGAAGAAAAACTGCTGAACACATATTGCTCCAAACACACAATGAAACCAAACTCAGTGGATCCACTCAGGCTGGGCGAACTCCCACATCAGGTTCCTAGAAGAGTCTTTCAATTTTGAGTTGAAACTATCTAATGACGTCATCACTCAACAGTTCAGCTCAACTGGGGAAGAACGCTGGCCGTGAACACTCTGGAATTCACTCCGTGAACGTATGGAATGACCTGCGAGGTGGAGGCAAAAATAATGCAGGATTTTAAACCTCAGCTTTGACCTTCTAGAACTCTGTTCAACCTTAACTTCAATAATCAAAATAAGAACAATCTACACATTTTTGCCAACAGAATATATATCTGCTATTCCTGCAGTGACATTCCTCTAGGTCATGTAGCCCTGATGTACAAGTTGCCGTCCCGTGGTCACTTGTGCTTGCTGTGAGGCTGAACACTGTGACACTGATGTGTC